CTCTCCTCTCCTCTCCTCTCCTCTCCTCTCCTCTCCTCTCCCTCTCCTCATACTGAGAGTTAAAGGTCATTTTCATGTGAATGCACCAAAATCTCCACCTCATCTAAGAAAAAGAAAAAACCCTCAAGACTGAGTGAGACACTTACTGTCTGTACAAACTTGTCATGGCATTCTTTGTTATGGAAACCAGAACCGTATTGTGAAATGATCTTCCCTAGTGGAGAAGTACATTCTGTGGGAGTCATTACTCTCTCAGGCTTAAAATTCATGACTTCCAGATTTCTCGCGTGTGTCTTTATTTGGTTCAGGACAGAGATTTTGGGAGAGATTCGAGTGGCAGGTGTGGGGGTTTGTGTTGTTTGTGGGTTTTGTGGGTTTTATTCATTGATTGGTTTTTGAGAGATGTAGCAGCAGTCCCAGTCACTGGATGAGTCCTGTTTCCACTGATCTTTTGGCTTACTACCAAAAAAGCAGAAAAAACTCCTACATTTCACAATACTTTAAGATTTTTTTCAAGATAACATGACATTGAGTATCAATTTCCCTTTTTAAAAAATATTTAAGTTAGCTTTATTTATGTCACTTCTCAAAGTTAGAGAAACTATTGGAGCACTGGACATCAGAAAGACTAGGCAGTGATCCCTTTTGCATTACATATCTTTTTATGTACTATTTCCATTACATTTTTCTCCCTATGCCATCTTCTTTGATATTGTAATTAAAGACATCATGAGGTCATACTTTTTCACTCCTTATTCCCTTTTCCCATTCCTCTTTCATTTCCCCAGGGAAGGAAATTCTGAAGTAGAGGTTGAAAAAATGATTTCAGTATTAGAGAAAAATATAAGCCAAAGTTGTTTCCTTAATAAATATAATTAGATGTATATATTGCATTTTCAAGAGCTAGTACTGATGTTGGGACCAGCTCCTTAAATAAAATAGGACCTCTGTAGTCTCTGGAGAGAACATGCATAAAGCAAAGTAAATGATTTTCTGTCAACACTAAGTAGACAGGTGCTTACATTGAACAGCATTCTAATATGTCTCTGAATATTTATGTCTTCTTTTTCAAATGCATTGCCCATGAATGTCACAGCTGTCAAACGTCTGTATACAAGAAGATAAAAAATGAAATTAATAAAAGGCAGATCAACATTTCATTTGTTTAGGCCACTTTTTCATACAGCATTTTACAGATGTTAGTGATGTTGAGATGCTTGGGTATACTGGCATTTTCTAAGGGCTGAGTGAAATGCAAAGCAGTTAGTTGCATTTTGTGTATGCCTAGGTATATTTCCTATTATTTAACCGAGACATTATCAGTGAAAATAATGACTCTAAGTTCTAAAAGGTTGTTCCTTTATCCTCTGTCCATTTTCTTCATGAATGGGGATCCTGGAAAGTTTTGGCACCTCACTACTGCCATAACTAGAAGCTTTTTTGGTGGAACAAAAAATTCTGAATCAAACTCTGCAACATGCAGGGACAGGTGAGCCATCACTGCTGTCTGAAAACAGTTAATGGAGAATAAATTCAGTCTCAAAATAGTTCCAAAACTGAAAAGACTCTGCATGTTGAAGTTAAATTACCATTCATGGCTAACTGTGAAGATGCACCAATGCATCTTTGCAAAAATTTTAACATCTTAATGATAACATGACTTTCATTTTATACAGAATGGCACAGAGAGAATAAGAGGAAAAACCCTAAATAGGCATAGGTCAGCATTATTCACCTTGTATCCAAATAAAGTAGATTAACATGTTTCCCACTGAAACACTTTAAATGCTCCTTGGGTTTAGTGGTGCTTTCACTGCAGGCCAGTTGGCATTCAAACACTCAAATGTAGATGCCAGAGGTTGGATATCTCCTTTTTGTCTGTATTCCTTGCTAATTACTTCGTTGTAAGGTTTCAAGTTACCTTTGAAAAGCCTCAAGACTTTCTTACCATCTCCCACATGAGCTTAGTAGACAGACCACTTTCCAGTCGAAACAATTCAATATATCATTCAAACTGAGTTATTCAAGCTATTGCAGTACAAAGAACAATGGACAATGTTCTCAAAAAATTTAAATGATGCACAGAGGTTTGTAGTATTACTGTGAAAACATCAGCTTGGAATCATATAATCACAGAATGCTTTGGGTTGGAAAGAACCTTAAAGTTCATCTAGTTACAACCACCCTGTCATGAGCAGTGATTAGCTTCAGAATTTTTTCTCAATGTAGCTGTCAAGACTAATGTCCAGAGTTTCTGTGATACATGGGTATCCCATGTTCAGGAGCCCTCCACATGAGAAAGTGCAGCAAGAATTTGTGCAGGCAGGCACGTGCTTGAAGTACAGCCATAGCGAAATGAAGCACGCAGTCATAACAAAAGCTATATTATGCTTTCATCATAAATTTTCTGTCAGACATGCACTAAACTGCTCCTTGGCAGCTCTTATCCCTCTCAGAAAGTTTGTCCTCCGCAATCATCAGCAGAGGAGACAGCACGCAGAGCTGAGTAAACCAGTACAGAATGACAGGACCTAGGAGATCAGGGCCGATGAAGTGCTGCAGTTGGCTATGAGACGAACAGATGCTTGGGGGAAACTAGCAATAAGTCAAAAATGTTTCAAAAAAGCATATCTCCCAACAGATTCCAGTAAAATATGGGACTGTTTTTCCTGCAAGCTGTATATGGAAATAGCTGGAAATCTTTAGATCTTGCATGCATTTTCCATAGAGACACAATTCTTGCTCTCCATTCCAGCTACAGATCCTAGAAGGAGATGATATTTGGAAACATCTACATCACAAACTAGTTTCCAAATTAGGCTAGCATTCTTACCATTTTATTTCCAGAAAACAGGTAGAAGAGTCCTTTAATTGTCCTTAAATATTTCTTAGCTGATAACAGAATACATGTTTATGATTTCAGGATATGACTAGCATTTGTTTCAGCTTTGAAAGATTCAGAAGATGAAGATTTTTTAGGTTTAGCTATTTACTAGAAATAATTTAGATGGCACTATGGTCTTGCAGAGATAAGCATGGAAATACTGTACTGTTTGGCTCTTTCTGGCATAGCAACCCTTAAAATGTGTTGTTACTTTCACTGTTGGCAAATAAGGCCAATGCAGAAATGCATACAACTGAGAACAGAAGACACATTAATTTGGTCAGAATCTGAGGTTTCTTTTATCCAAATTAGAGTTATAATTTAGAAAATAAAAAGAATTGGTGTCATCATTAAGATAAATACAGAAACAAGAGGAAAAAATTCCATTCTGAAAGTATATATGCTACAATAAACTTCTTCATCTGGAGTTAAAGAATATTTTTTAACAGGAGCTTCTTTAAAACTATCAATTTCACTTAGTTGTTCAATCAAAATCTTTTCTTTAGTGATGTATATTGGATGTACATGTCTCCTGTGGTTGCATTTCAAGATATTTAGCATATTATGTGAAATCAGATTGTTATCATTTTGACTAAATGTATCACATTAGCAACATAACATAAAAACCCCATGTTTCGCTGTTGAGAAATGGACTTTTCCAGGAACATTGGAATAACACATATAGTTTCAGAAATAGACCACATTTGCTGCCTTGCTATGTGAAACTGCTGTGTTTTTATCTTTGGGAATTGCTATGATTCTTGCCTGAAAAATAAGTGCAGAGATCTGTGGGCTACTGAACTCAGACTCACAGGCATAACTAAGGGAAAAATATCTTGATAAGAAAGGATGAGCCTTGCAATTGAAAATGCTTTGAATAAAAATGCTGCTACCTTTCAAAGAAGATATTTCCAATAATATCTTGAGGTATTTGCCATAATTTGCCTCTTTCTCTGCAACTTATTCTATTGTACCTAGCAAATTTTTCATTGAGATCAGATCAGAGATAAGTGATGCCTTAGGTTGCAGAGAAGAAGTTTCAAATTTCTTTGTGTCTGATTTCCTCTGCTCTCAATACACATTGAAAATAGGTTCTGACATTTTAAATGCAAATTTCTTTTTGTTTTTAAAATGTTGACTTTCTGAGTATCACTTAAAGGGGAAAGAACTATTTACTGATTTGCTTTCCATATGTTTTAGGTGAAATCTGTTCTACCAAGGTAGTACTGTGATGAGTTGTTTCTCAATACTGAGAACTCCAGTGTTAGCCTGGGCCTGGATTTCTCTAGAGTAGCAGTTTATTTTTCCTTCTGACCACAGTTATTCTGGGCTTCCAGAAGGGGAAATCTGGGGTTGTTGCAGCTCCTTAGCATCCCCGTACTCTCACTGACATCAGGGTGCTCTGCAACAGCAACCATGTCCTGTATCTCAACATGATGGGGCAAGTTTGTCTGCACTGGCGTGATACTTTGCTATGAACTTTATAGGATTTTGTATACTTAAGCCATGTGGGTAACTCCAGGTAACTGTTTAGGCTTTATTTAGATATTAATGTGACTTAGGGGTTTCAGGAATCCACTAGAACCAGTACAGGGGAAATTTTGCCACATTTCAACTGGGCTACAGTGCAAGCACTGTGTTGCCTCCCAGATTAGTTCTCAGTCCCTTCCAATAAATTGCCACTGACACCGTAAAATACCAAATAATCCATTGAGAATATTTCTTTGTGTAATGAAA